CGGCATGACTGGGGTGAGTGTTTGCATTTCCAGGGTGGTCTGGAACGATGAAGCAGGCGATGAGTCGATGCTGGCGTTTGCTTTGCTCAGGCAGCTGGCAAGTACGCCGTGTGTGCCACGGAGATGCTGGCCTCCATGGAGGACAAGCCCTTCCCGACCCGTGCAGAGGCCTGCGACGTGGCCAACGCCGTCTTGGATGGTGCAGATGCAGTGATGCTCAGCAGCGAGAGCGCCATGGGAAAGCCACTTGGGCTGTCAGGAAGTTAGGTCTGGCACTCGTAGGAGGAGCGATGCCGTTACTTGCAGCCGAATGGCAATAACTTCTTACTGGTAGCAGCACGTCAGGTTCCCTGTCGAGACGGTGAACACCATGAGGAGGATCGTCGAAGAGGCCGAGCACGCGCTCGTGTCCGAGGTCGTCGCGGCGTGAGTAGCTCTCAGCCTTCCCCATCCCCTCGGTTTGAAAAGCCCTCTTGTGAAGCTCTGCTGCACCTATGATGCTGCCCGATGGCGCTCACGTAGCTTGAGTGACTCTCGGTGTCAGGGCACAAAACCTTTTGTTGAATCTGACGGTTTCTGCTAACAGAGCAGAGCCAGGCACAACCTAGTTTACCAAGGGGGAACAACAGTAAGTCAGGAAGGATTCAACAGCTGATGCTGTTGTCAGCGCTCGTGTGGATGCTTGGTTTGCTGTGCCTGGTATGGCCAGTGTAGCGCTTTTCTTGGAAGTTTCGGCCCTTCCTCTCTCGGCAATATTTGCCATTCTTCGGCCCCTACAGCAGGTTCAGGCGATAAACCTCGCGACAAAAAAACATTGAGTGTTTTCTGGCATGCGGCCGTCAATCGCATGCTTGCTGTAAGCAGTTCCTCCTGCTGTTGCAGCTCAAGGAGGACCTATCAGCCAGGTACCGGCACAGCACATGAAGATGGAAAGGAGAAGGGGTAGCTCCCGACGTGCTGTGGCGGCCGCGATTTGTGCTTTCGGTGCTTGCCTATGCTTCACTGGCAATGTGATAAGCCGACCTAGTCGAGAAGGCCAGTTTGTGGCCCGATCCGCGGTGAAGTTTGTTTCTCGGAAGAAGGCCAAGTATGCACCAGTTGATCCAAACCAGCCCCTTGGCCGTACCGTATCTCGGTGCTCGCGACGAAATGACGCGGGTCGGGAAGACATGGAAGGCGTTTGCTTCTGAGTCTGAGGTTCTACTTAGATACGCTCGGTGGAGATGGCGGACCTCCCAAAGGTTTGGAGAGGGATCTTATCACAAAATGCTTCGGGGACGGCGACTTCCACGGGCGAGGAGACCATGAAGCCGCTTTCGAATCCTTCAAGGACTTCGCTCGTTGCCAGAGGGTTCGGGGGGGGAATTGCTTGAAGCGACTTTCGAGAATCTCGAAGGGTTCATCTGCTCCGACATCTGCCACCATGGCAACAGAACATCAACATCAGAGCGGCATGACCAAGCAAGGCCCAGGATAAGTTTCGAAGGTGTACGTACACAGTCAGAAGATTACGAGTTGCGCGGCTTCGAGAGCTTGACGTTTAAGTTTCGGGCTCTGAAGAGGAGTGCATGCAGAAGGGTGAGCCCTTCACTGGCCCCGACGATGAAAGTGGCTGGGTCTGGGCGGTGGCGGATCTGACCGTGGAAGGCGGCTTGAACTTGGAGCTTAGAAGGTCAACGCCGCTGGGCATGCGTGCCCTGATGGTGGCGCGAGCTGGCAACGCAGACGAGATGTTTGAATCCGTGAGTTGGCGCACGGTCAGGCAGCCTGGCAGCACCACCTGGAAAGCTTAGCCCAGTTTTTTTCTTGTTTGTGTGCCGCTCCCAGCTCGCAGGCGGCGTTTCAACGAAATCTTGGGACATCGAGATGCCGATGGCAAAGATGTACCGGGCTTCGAGCCTGCATGAGCCTGCGAGTGAAAGAAAGGAGCGGCAAGCCTTTGGAGGGTTCTTGCTGGGTCTTTGCGTTTCTCATGCTGAGTAGGTTTAGTTGTGACTGCGTTCCATAATACTGATAGGCCCCAACGTCTACGATTCGCCAACTCCAACCGAGATGTACGAATTTCGCCCGAAAGCACCAGTAAGGAGAGCCTACACTAGAGCCTTTTGGCTTCCTGACGGCTTGAGAGCAGGGGAAGCATCCTTGGCCGGGAGCTTGTTCAAGAGCAATTCCATGTCCCTAAACCCTAAACCCTAAACCCTAAACCCTAAAATGTACCAGGCCTCGTACGCATTGCAGACCCCGGCAGCTCCTTTTGTCACCGCAATTGTCGGCATTTGTTCAGCACAAATACGTGGTGTGGTGAGGCACTGCTTGTACCCGTTCTTCGAGTCCCCTTCTCTTCAGTTTCGTTTGGGCCATGCATTTGAAATATGAGGAATTGCCCGTAAGTCAAGGAAGTCACGAATCTCTGGATGCCTACGGTTGTTGGCACTCGCCAGTAGCTGTCAGTAGCTGTCACCTCGCCTGATGGTGGCGTCTGAGTGTGAGTGTCCGAACGCATTCGATGTGGCTCTGCTTGCATGGCCAACGCATAGTAGCATAGTATGTAAGCTGATGGAAATCTGCGCCCCGGATTTCCTCTGGTCGTGGCCTGAGAAGGGCCTGGAACCCTGAAGCTGTTGGGTTTGATGAGGGTTTTGGCAGAGACGGTCCGAGGGTTCACGGTGGTTCAACCGCGAACTTCTGTTCAAACGGTCCCGATGTTTTCCTAAGCTGGGTTGCAAACGGTGAGTCCTAGCAGGTGGCTGATACAGGTAGCAGGTGAAGTATCTTTCGGGATGCGACGGGTCGTCTAGAATAGCATAGTTGTGCTAGAACCATCTTAGACCATGGCTCATTGAGTCCAGTGGTGTTAAAAGGCGAAAGCATAAACTGGCATCCGGCATCATCTGTAAGCCTAGTCCTAGCAAAGAGGAATTGTTTGGACCTTACGATTCCGAGCGCCAGGCCGCAGTGCAGTTCGGGGGAGCAGGTAGGATGACAGTCTGCAATATTCACCCTATGCTTCCGGGGTCCTTGTTGTTGTGTCCTTACGGGGTCTAGGGCCCTATCTAGAAGATCCTTGGAATCATATGGTCAATAGTGATCGTAGCAAGGCTGCTGGCGGTAATGGTATCAGCAACAATCGCGCAAACCGTCATTTGGCCATGATCAAGCCAGCGAGAGGAGTAGTGCCTGGAGTCATGCTGCTAATTCTTGCCAGTAAAAAGTTCGCAGAAAGCTGGCACTTGCGTAAACCAAGTTACCAGCACCCCAGTAATCCCAATGCTTTTATGTCATTGCTTGTGCGCGTTCTTGCGGCTCGCTAGGCAGCATCGCATCGCACAACTGTCGTGCATCATTTGCCTTTACCTGCACTGGCTGCAGACATCTGCGCGCTCAAGCAGTCGGTGTCCTTTCCGAGCTTTTGCCGCAGCATCGCGTGCTCCGCTGCCTTCGCCATGAGTGCAGCATCCACGCCGCATGGGACAGATTCGTGGAAGACGGAAGTGGCGCAGAAGCTGGCCTCTTTGGAGAGGCGGATTGAGATGCGACCCCTGTTTCTCTAAGTGCAAGTAAGATTCGTAGATTTTGGCCATCTCCCTCCAACCTTCCGAGCGGGGCGGCCACAGGCGGCTGGACCAGTGCATGCAGAAGCTGGCACCCGACGCTCCTCAAGGCCTGACCAAAGCTGCACGATCATGCCAGACCATATTGGAGCATGCTGTTTGAAAATGCATTCAGTATATATGAAGCAATAGCTCATTCCAGACATGTGTGACAATGTATTTTGCCAAGCCCTGTTGTGCTGCAGCCTCTTGTCTTAGTTGTAAGTACGTTTTGAAATAGGGTGTTTCGCTTGCGCTGGACATAATCTTTTGTTTGCTCGAAGCTCGGTACTGTTCTCGCAGCGTGTGTGTGTGTAGTCCAAGACATCCCTGAGTTCATGGGTGGTGAGGAGTCGGTAGAATACTCAGCCAAGAGAGTAGGCTCTGGCACACCCTCACCCACCGTTCAAAAAAAGACTGCCGCCGATTACATCAGGGTGAGGGGTTTCGGGGGGTGGAACTGCAGGCTTCGACGCGCGCGTGGGGCAGCTGGAGAGGAGCCTTCCCAAGCTGGAGCTCCCTGCTTGAAACCGATTCAATTTTACGGCCCCGTAATATTATGATATTCCTTAATTAAGGGGTATTGGGTTGTCAGGGCTCATGGTTTGCTGATTTTTGTCAGGCTGCAGCTGGGCGAGCTTCTCGGGGCGACGGCCGGTGCGAAAGAGACGGTTTCGGCACAGGCTCGTCAACTGAGCTGTGTGGAGGAGCGGCTGGCAAGCCAACTCGAGGCAGTCCAGGCCAGTGTGCAGGTGTATCAGAGCAAGATGGGAGCCTTGGAGGATGCCTTGGAGACTTGTATGAATACAATCAGGGGCCTGACAAAGCATCAGGCCTTATTGGCCAAACTGGCTTCCGAGGCCTCTGAGGAGCCGCTGATGTCAAGCCACCAAGCACAGATGCAGGAGTTGGCCCTTGATTTGGCCAGCCGCGTCACTCACTTGGAGAGGACGGATCGGACACTTCGTGCGACTGCCATGGAGGATGCCTCCCTTGCGGAAGACGCACAGATGAGACTGCAGCTGCAGGAGCTGCAGGCTTCAAGCCAGAGGCTGCACAAAGAGATGCTGGATGTGGTGGCAAGAATTGAGGAACACTCAGTGCACCTGGCATCCTGCAGGAGCAGGATGGAGGCGCTGGAAGATCAGCATCCTGGACCCGCGATAAAGACATCCTAGCACAACAAAAAAAATGGTGAGGGTAGTGTTCTCCTTGTCTCTCACGTGCTCGCCCACGGCTGTGCAAAAGATGCTGGGGGAAAGAAGATAGGATGAGGTGGCTTTGTAGCATTTCGTAGTGAAACAGAACCGGCTGCCAGCTAAGTGCAGGGTCGAGAAGCACAAGATGCTAAGCTGGTCCTCCCTGTCCTATACACCGAATCGCCCTGAACGGACCCAAGGTCATCATGTCATCGCAGCAGAGGGAGATGCAGCAGCAACTGCAGCAGCAGAGACTTGGGCAGCAAACCTGCTCGGAGTCATCATGGTGAAGCGGTGGATGTGTCAGGGTTTCTGTAGAGGACAGGTTTGGCATAGAAGCCGGAAGAACTACCAATAGGCATCATATTAATCCTTCGAGTTCCCTGTTTTTGTACTACACCTCCCCCCCCCAACTCAAAAAGCCATCATACTTTAACATTTCAGGCCCAAAAATTCGGCACTGGAGAGACCCCGAGGATGGCAATGATGCAGCAGATGGCCATGCAGCAACAGATGGGCGGCATGCCTCTCGTTGGAATTTTGACCTCCCTTGCTTAGGTCTCCCAAACTTCCTGCGGCAAGTCCGAGTGTGAGTGCTGAAACTTCCTGCGGCATCTTGGAGGGAAAAAAAGGGACATTTAGAGACCTACCACCTGAGACCCTGAAGTCCTGAACCCGAGGGGCTTCCGCGAGTTGCCAAAGACCCACGTCCGAAACCAGCCACTGCCGAGGAACCCCCAGATGCAGGGGCAGGGCTATCAAGGGCAGCCAGGGTCGCCCTCCCTGCATGTTTGCTCTCTTTCGAAGTTGGGATGGCCAGTGTAGCGAAAGTAGTGACTTCGGTAGTGCTGTGCATAGAGGAGAGCTTTTCGTGCTCAGAGTCTTCAGAACTCAGTCATGAGCCCGCCCCGAGGACATCGCAGATGCAGCAGATGCAGCAGATGCAGAGTCAGCTGCAGAATCTCTGCACCAACCACTCTCTTTGTGTCCTTCAAGCGTTTTTTTGGAGTCACGATTGTTTGTTGTGACGTGAATGCCAGCACGTTTCGAACTGAGGATGGCTGCAATGATGCAGCAGATGGCCGCCATGCAGCAGATGGGAGGTGGCATGCCGGAGCCTTGGAGCTTGTTCAGGATCACGGCGGGGTAGATTTATTACTACTATTATTATTATTGTTACTATTATTGTTAGTATTATTATTATTAGTATTATTATTATCAGTATTATTGTTACTACTATTATTGGTATTATTATTATTATTGATGGATGTTCCAGAATCTTCGAAGGCAGTCGCAGATGGCGCAGACGTACCCGGGACTTGGCCAGGGCCAGACAGCACCGCAAGGGCCTCGGCCCTGCCATCTCCTCTCTGCCCCGCGTCGGTTCGGGCATCCTTTGCTTGTTGCTGCAAGGACTCTTCGAAGGTACCGCCCAGGGCCCCTGACTCGCCCCATTCCAAAGCTCAATATCTGGCCCCTCGCACGAACAAACCTGAAACGTGGCCTTGGGAAGAGTCAAAAATTGGAACAAAGTTTCCTCCAAGCCAACGCTGCGAGCCGAGGAGCAACGGCTTGAACGCCAATGCGCCAGAGCCGCGCTCTCGGACCGCCTATGAACATGTAGCCTTTCTCGTGGCCCAAAACTCTCAGAAGCCCCAAAGTCTTCTTGGAACAAGGGGCCCCTGGAATGGACCTCCACTTGTTGTAGCTACTCGGGAAAGGGCCGTGCTTCATGCTCCTTCCTTGCCCCAGAGCTTGCGCGGCTTGTCATGAGCGTCCCGTCACGCCAGGTTCGACCCCAGTGCCATGGCGAAGGTGGCTGAGGTCCAGAAGGAGGAGACACCGGAGGCCCGAAGCGAGCAGGGAGGACTGCCAAGCATGTTGCTGGCGCAGTGCGCCAGCAGTAAAACAACATGTTCCATGAACATGATAACGGGCGAATATCATACTTAATGCAGAGATATAGTAGTCTATGCTATACTCGTATATTTATATGGCGATGGTGCTTCGTAAGCACGAGGTTTCAAGTCGTCGAGTTGGCTTGCCGGAAAAGTGGGAAACCGGAGGTGTCGTTTTGCCTCCACAGACATCGGCTCAAGAAAGGAATGCGGCTGAAGATGCATCTCCTTAGAGCCGACCGTTGAAGACTATCATGGTAGCTGGGCTCCGGCTTTCGTTTCTGATTCTCTTGACCTCCCGGATGCTGACGGCCTGGGATGCTACCTTCACAAAGCCCTTCGTTCGGGAGGCCTCGCGTTTGCGCCGGGACCTGCTGAAGGACTATGACAGGGTTGTGCCGCCAGAAAGCGATCGCCTCGCACACTACAGCGGTGCAGGGACGGAGGTTGAAATGCAAATCAACTTCTTCAAGGCACAAGGCCTCGACGACTCGACCGGCCAAATGCGCCTCAAGGTCTGGGTTCGGATGGGCTGGGTTGATCAGCGCCTGAGCTGGAACCCCGCAGAGTATGGCAACATAAGCCAGGTTCATTTCTTGAGCCGGCACAACACTGACAGGGAGAACTCAGAGATCTGGCTGCCTGACATTCAGCTCTGGAATGCAAACCGTGGGACCGAGCTCTCACTCGACACCACGAATGCCGTCGTGGGCAGTGCTGGAAACGTCTTCTGGAGCCGGCCCGGGTTGCTAGACACGCTTTGTAAGTTCTCTGGCTTAGTCGCCTTTCCCTTCGACCATCTGAAGTGTTCAATGTACTGGGCTGGTTGGACTTTTTCTGGCAGCTTCCAGGGAATCGAGCTCATGGGCCGAGGCTACGAATCCAGCACAGAGGACACGGCTGGGGCTTCATACCAGGAATACAGTATCGAGGCGATAGAAGTCGAGACGAGGACCAACTTCTATGCGAGCAGCCCTGGCGAACCATGGACGCTGGTGAAGTACAGCATCACGCTGGGCCGAGCCAGTTTTTACTATTTGCTGCTGATCATCTTTCCGACGGTGCTCACCACGTACCTCTCCTTTGGCGTGTTCTTCATGTCGCACGAGGTCGGCGAGCGCCTGTCTTTCGGGATCACCTTGCTCCTCCTCGTAGGGGTCATCAAGGGAACTGTTGCGAAGTTCGTTCCTGTCTGCGGTGAGCTGCTTTGGATCGATCTCTTCATGCTGACTAACACGACGTTCTGTTGCTTGAGTCTGATCGAAACGATGACCGTGCTTTTCTTCGCCTTCCATATGGATGATCACTTGCTCCCTGCCTGGCTCGCTTGGCTCGCCCCATGGTGTCTCTGCCGGCCCAAGAGAAACACCGCGACGCAGTCGAACGCGGGGCGAATCTACCGCCAGCTCAACCGCGAGCATTCCAGCCTCTTGGACGAAAGCTCCAGCAAGGGTGGCCGACTTCAGATGGTTTCCCAAGGGAAGCTGTCCGAGACGGACACTGCAAAGTTGGTTTTCTTCGAGAACCTCTTCCACTTTATTGACTCCGACTCCAACGGCTTGATCACAATGCAAGAAGCTGCCTGCATGTTGAGCTTCGTCAACCTTGGGCTCTCGCGCAGCCTGCTCGAGGAGATTCTGACGACCGCTTGGAGTCCCAAAGTTCTCTTCGACTGTGGCGACTTCTTGGAGATCTGCCTGGAGCTGATTTGGACCACGCCCTTCCAGGAGATCAAGCTGGGCGCAGAGAACTACAGCTGCTCAAGGAACCACGACGCGAAGCGTTCTCACACCTATTGGCTGGAGTGGTCCGAGGCTGTTGATAAGTGGTCGCGCTTCTGGCTACCGCTGATGTACACCATTGCACTTGGCTTTCTGCTAAACCTGGACATGCGAGACAACTACGATTCGGTGACGGGTTCAGTCATGTTCCAGGGGGTCGGCCCTATCCACATGTCCCTTCCAGGTGTCATCCAGGCCTTGATCTCCCCAGCTATTGGGCTTGTTTCTCTCTTCACATGGTTGCAGATGCGCCGCCTCTCCCAGAAGTGGAAGAAGCAAGAGAAAGCTGCGTTCGCCGCAAGGGACCAGGTGCCGGGACACAGCGCTCGACCACGCCCGCGCTGGACGGTGCGGCCTGAGGACTTCATGCCGCAGCCAAAGCAAGTACTCGGCGACGATGCGAGTGTTGAGTCTAAACAGCGAGAGCAGTTCGGACAGGAATGTTTTGTGGCCCATTCCGAAATTCCCTCTGCAAACGAGTCGACAATGAATATGAACACGTGAGCCAATGTGGGCACGCACACACGCGATGTTGCAGGAGCGATAGACAAACACGGTGGATGTCTTGAGTCCCAGCAGCAGCTAATATCCCGAACCGAGGTCCCCTCATAAACTAGTGGAACTTAGAGACTTGTCGCGGTCTTTTGGAAAGCCCGATGTGCTGATCCGACATCTGCAGAAAGCGCAAGCGGTCTCCACAAGAGCTGCTCTGCAACCGAGCCTCCAAGGCGGTGTTGGAAGCCCGTGAGACTGACATTCCCCGGGTATCAACGGCTCAGACTCACTTGCCTTTGCTTGCAGAGACAATGCGCCCTCATGTTCATGGAACCTCGGGCAGATCGCGGAGTCAAAAGCGACCTTGGAGTTGGGAGGGGTGCCTTCCTGGGGGTTCTTGCAGCAGGGCTTCAAGTCGAGGCTTATGTGGTAGCACCTTGTTGCAGAGAAGACACATGTCCTCGCTTCCCTACAGCTCCCTGAACTTCGAAGCCTTCGCCGTGCAAACACACGTAGTCAGTTTGAACTCTGAAGCCTTGCACCACACCCCGTCAAGAACGAGAAGAGCGATGGCCCAGCTTAGAGAATGAGGGATTAGGTTGGGTGTTCTTCAAAGCCCACAGTCCTACAGGCTTTGTAGGTCTCAAATTCATTGTCTTGAGTGTTATGTTCTTGGTCTTGAGATGTTTTTGTGTCGGTTGTAGCATCTGGTAGAGTACCAGTGCTCCTCTGTTTCCGAAATCCCGGGTTGGCACGGCCTGTGTGGTCAGATGCCTTGCGGTCTTGCCGTCTTGCCAAGCCTGTGAGAGTCGAAGCCCAGCTGGAGTTTATACCCCTAGACTCCCTACAGTAGACCCTAAACCCGACACCCGCACGATAATTTACCTGTCAGCCTATGAAGTACCCTGCCTAGCGACTCGCTCAGCAACGCAGGAAGTAAAACACGCCCGAAACCCCAAAGTCCTAAACCAACCCCAGGTGCATGGGCTTAGCATGGTTTGGTTCGTTTGGTTGTCTCTTGTGCATGGTCTCAGCCATTGTGGACGTGAGCTTGAATCATGTGGAACCCTGCACGCCTTGAGTGGGTATGAGAGTCGAAACCCCAAACCCCAAACCTCTAGATCCAAAGCGCTCAGCCCTGAACGTTAAACGGTTAAACCCACCCTAAACCCTGAACCCTGGACCCCCTAAAATTCTACCACCCTGAACGCTCTCCTGCGAGAGAATACGAGAGGTGGGTGAGAAGCTCGGGCCTTACAGCAGAATGGGGAGATGGGGGGCTTTGTTTTGGGGCACTTAGAGTCGAAACCTGCTTGGCTCTCTCTCTCTCTCTCTCTCTCTCTCTCTCTCCCTCCCTCTCTCTCTCTCTCTCTCGCTATATATATGTATATCCGTAGAGCCATAGTGAGAGAGAGAGAGGTGGTCTTGAGTTCAGCTTCTTTGAAGGCGGGGAAGGTCGCGTGGTGTTTCAGTGTTGATTCGTCATGGTTTTTGGCTCCTTCGAGGCAGCCAGGAGTGCCTATTTTGCTCTGAGGAGAGCTTTGCCTGGCTTGCGTCCAGACACCACTGATGTGTGGAGTTTTCAATTAATCTATTTCGGCTCAACCCACTTCTTTTGCCCATAAGGAAAAGTACTATGTGTTTGTATTAGGCTTCAAAAGACCTTTTTAGTCGCCTGGGTCTTCGTCGACTTGTCTACATCGATGTGAACTATGCTCCAAGAAGGTTTTGCCGAACTGTCAAAAGCAGCGGGTACTTGGTACCTATTGATTTGCTTGGTAGAAGCCCGAACACATGAATGTATAGAAGCGATGAACATTGCAAGTCATCCAAAGGGCGGGGATTTGGAGCGTGCATGCAATCATAGCAGCTTCCGGTGAATGAGGGACCCGCAGTTGATGGTCGGACAGCAATAGGTGACAGGCATTGTCTGCGTCCCCGAACTGATTATCGACACCGAATGCTGCACCTGGGTGAACGCTTCAACTGTCCAGTGGTCCCGACGAGATGTCCCGAGCCCCTCTCCGAAGCACCCTGACAACATGGGGCACCCGAGGCCGGTAATCAAGGAGGTCACCGCATGGAGCTCAGCAAGCTGAGAGGGTTCAGGTGCTTCCGATGAAGGGCTGAACCGGACGTAGGATGTGTGACCAGGCACGAAAAATCTGAGCATCTAAGAAACGGGTCGTTTGAATCCAGACTGTACTCGTAATTTACCGTTGCGGTATCGCTCGCCACCTTGTGCATTGACATGTGAGCAGTGTAGATTGGTTTGGCAAATGCCACAAGGGTCCAAGCTTGTGTCCGAAAAGTGTCAGCCACGTGCCTGCGAGGAATCAGGTCATGGTCTTCAGATATCCCTAAACCCTGAACCCTAAACCCTATGTTTAGCTTCCGGCGACTTCATTCGTTTAATTGTCGGGCTTTGGCTTCAGGTCGGACTCTTTCTGGAGGAGATCGCGTTCTTCATGGAGGCCGCTTACGGGGCTTACCGTTTCCGGCACTAAGGCGGATGTCACATCCGCCTCAAAATCGGTCCCTTCACCTAAACTCCCCCTGGTAGATCCCGGGAGGTCCCATGCTAGCGCTGTCCCAATGCGAAGACCCCCACGGTATCTTCCATGCCAGCCCTAGCTACGAGACTCTTCGATGCTACCTGTGCCATCTCGTGCTCCTCGGGCCTGGGGCCCCCTTGCAGCGGAGAGTAGTTGGGAAGTCGTTTAGCTACAGCCTCCATTTATGAGAGTCTTCGTAGATGTCGGGACGCCTGCGTAGCGGCTTAGCATGCTACGAACGATGGCGCAAGGGAGACCAACTTTTGCAAAGGCATCCGATTTGCACCCACATGTTCCTGCACATCTCGATAGTACAGAGGATTGAGTGTTAGTAAAAGGATCTTTTGGCTAGTTATTTGGGCCAGATCTCGCGTATAGCCCCAAGTGGCCCAAACCCATCAGACCCGAAGTCTGCAGGACATGGAGAAGGACCTCTGGTGGCTGCTTCGAATGGCCCATCAACCGGCTGCTGCCCCAGGGAAGTTCCTGCGTTCGAAGTCCGACTTCAGAGAAGCCTTCCCGAACAGTCCCATGTTGGAGTGACTTCAGCCAGCGGGAGTGTTGGGGAGCTCCGCAGGAAAGGTGCCGTGGAGCTCAAGGGAAGGTCAGTCGCCGTCATGCTCACACGTATGGCTTGAACGCACACGAGGATGGCATTGGGCCCTACATCTGCGGGGACGAGCAGGTTCAGCAGGTCGATGCAGCCGTGGAGGTTGGCTTCAGGGGGTCGGGGTTTGAAGTTAAGAGTTCAGGTGCATGTCCCTGGAGTGTGCAGCACGACGCCTTTGTTTCTTGTGATTCTTGGTTCAGTTTCCCGGCGACCGTCCCGAGGCAGCAATCCAGAGGCTGAAGGAGCGTGCCGACAAGCATGCCGAAGATCATGTAGCCCAGGCCACTTCGGTGTCACGTCGCCGCCTTGCTAGGTGTTGGAGATGAGTGGAAGTCTTCTGCAGACGCGAATCTGTCGACATGTGGTTGGCTAAAGACTTCAGCCCTCCCTGTTGCAGCAAGTGGCCGTTGCTAGCATGGCGTTCCAGGTGCGTGCCAAAATAGTCATCATCCCCGCAGTCGACAAGGTTGAGTGCAAGCCCTACTGCACGCCTTGTGATACCAGAGTCTTGGGATGTCAGGGGCGCTCCGTGTATTGCCACGGAGACTTTCATTGCTCGAGCGAGTGATTCTTTGAGCAACTGCTTTTTGCCAGATGCGGCTTAGCGGCGGCATAGAATGCATAGAACTTAAAGTCTGCATAGTGGTCTGGTGATGTGAACTGGCTTACTTGGTTTCCTTTCGCCAAACGTACTGCTCAGGATGGACATGTGATTCATGCAGCCGATTGCCAGCGACAACATGCCGACAACAGCAACAAGCAGTGTATGCAACAGTGCTAGCAGCAATTCGCAGCATAGACACCGCAGCAGCTATAGCAGTCTTAGCAATACCTGCGGGAATGGTAGCAACGAGCAGCAGTGGCGAGAATGCAGCAACAGGCCAGCTGCAAGAGCCGATGGCTCATGGTGGTAGCAACTGGCACATTTTGGCCACATTGTTCAAGAAGATAGGTAGCACGAAGCACCACCCCTAACCCCTGAACCCTAAACCCTGAACCCTAAACCCTGAACCCTAAACCCTGAACCCTAAACCCTGAACCCTAAACCCTAAACCCCAAAAAACCGGTCCGGCATGCGCCGGGCCTGCGTGGTGGGCGCCTCTCGTGGGCTCGGCCTGGCCCTTGCGAAGCACCTGGTCGGGGAGCCCAGGACTTGGGGGTCGTTTGTCAGGGGTGTTTGAGTTTTTTTTTTCAGGGTGTTTAAGGTTTTTTTGAATTCTCTCCGGCTTGGGGCCGCAAGAGGCTGCCATGAAGTAGACCAGGTAATGCTTCCGACAGAGTTGCCCGAGAGTTGCACCAGCCAGAACCGACAGGACTTTCGATGCAGGATGCTAACTAGGACAGCTCTACGAAAGTTTTGCAGCAAGTTACCCTTGCCGTCATCGTCTTTTCCTCGAGGACGTCCTGGCGGTAGTAGTACTAGAAGCGACGAGCGTCTCGTCACAGTTCTTCGGATGCTACTATCACTGACTGTCACTTCAAGGCTCGCCGCGGCGATGCCGTGCTTTGTGCTGCGCGCACGCCGACGGCGGCCCTTGCGGAGCTGGAGAGGCTCAGCTGTGCAGGTTTCACGGGGCCTCCAAGACTCTATGAGGTTTTTTCGCATCGGAACATCGAGGTCGGAGTCCGAGGTATGGGGGTAATGTGTCACATTCACAAAAGAGCTACCGAATCCTCCTGTGATCTTTATACAGACTCATGACGGCTCACGCGGCGCCAGGCATGTGTAGAACCGTGCGAAGACACATTTCCTTCAGAGAATCCCTCAATGTGCTGAGCCATGCTCAGCCCGATTCCCCTAGAGCTGGACTGACTGTCCGTTGGTGACCTAGCACTGCAATAGAAAACGCTCAATTAGCTCCATCCCTCCTTCAAGGGACTTTCCGCATTCTGTCACCGTGCTCCAGATGGACGTGACCGAGCCCTGGCTTTGGCAGGGGTTGCGGCTTCTATTCGTTTCATGTGTGTCTTGCCTGTATATTCATATCTTTCCCACTTCGCAGTGCGGCGTAGAGTTGCGCCCCGTGGGCCGTTGGGCGGATGATGGTAAGGAGCCGGCTACTATTATCCTCACCCAGAAGCCCGCTGACAATTGAAAACATGCTACACTGCTTCCATCCTGCTTTCCCAAACAACGTTGCCACTTCCTGTCCAAGTGGCTCAACACCACGGTTGGTGGAGGTAGAGGTTGGACAAGCAGACTTTTAAAGGCACTGGATAGCTACACATGCTTTCGTTGCTTTGCTTCCGCGTCCTGGGATGTCTGTCCTTCGGACCAGAGTAGCGGAGTAGCGATAATTTAATGAAGAAGCTGTTCTCTGACCTCAAGAAGCATGGAATCCTGATCCGGGACAGCCCGAGTGTTTGTGTCAGAGATAATCATCAAGCCAGAAGGTGCTAAAGCCTTGAAAGCCTGAAAGAGGTTGCAACTGATTTCCTTTTCTTCTGATTCTTTTCGATTTGTCTGTGCTTTGAGGATGTGGCTCCAGCTGGAGCACAGCAGGTCATCTTCCCTTCGTTGCGATGTCTGTCGGCTACGCCTGTAATTGCGCAGGGTTCCTGGGTGCTCTTGGGCTCCAACAAAACCCAGTGCCACCCTTCCTGGAACCCTAAACCCTAAACCCTAAACCCTGCTTATCAAAGCTCCCAAACCTCGCGCCAGCCAAGGACGCCCCAAGTGTCGCGGACGCGGCAGAACGCGCGCAGGGCATCTTGGCCTCGCCCGGCCGGCCTCCTGGGTGCTTTGGCGGCTCTTTTGGGGCCTGTAGGTTGAGGCCCCAGGGACTTTGAGGGATGATTTTGGAGCTTTAAGGAGGCTATAGGCGCGTTTCATGGAGCATCTGGCGACCTCAACCAACTGACATGGCCGCATGCCATTCTGCAATGCAAGAGAAAACGCTTTTCTCTTCTCCTCAACGTGCAAGATGATGCCGAAAACAGATGAACAGTGGCACTGCTGTCTACTAGGCTGGAGCTTCTGTGCCACACTGCCGGGCTGCTGCGGCTCGCCGCAGATCTGATAGGTCATGCTTCGTTGTACGCTGTGGATATTTTGGCCCTGCTCCAGAGCTGAGGCAGGACAAGTCTCGTGGGGTCATCCCTGAGAACGGTCTGCACCGCTTGGATCCCGAGGCGATCCACTACACCTTTGCAGTGCGCCTCGGAACGCAGGGAGATTAGGGCCCAGGAAGCTTTTCGCATTTTCCCCAACCGCCCCGAGCCGCCAAGGAACGTGCTGGGACCCCTGATGGTCCTGAAGCACTTTGCTCCTCTCCTGAAGGCTTCAGAGACGGAAGGCCCCTTGGTACCCCAGGCGCCCAAGTCGACAGCGGTCTTCTACAGCGCTCGCGTGGGCTCCATCGGCGACAATGTCACAGGCTGCGGGCTCCGGCAGGTCTTGTAAACATCCCTGAACCCTAAACATTCCTATATAAATCCCCTCAAATAATCCCAAAACATCCCGAAATATCCCCACAGTCAAAAGCCACCCGTTGAAGTTCGACAGCACGGACCCGCGCCCGAATTTGCAGGTGGATGGTACTCTTACCGCAGCAGTAAGGCCGCCCTGAACCAGGCACGGGAAGCGACGTAGGTCACGAAAGCTCGCTCTTTGGAGTTTGCGAAGGGAAAGGCCCACACACACATATATATATATAGTTATATGTATGTATGTGGATATATATATATACACATACATACATACATACATACATACACATCCATCCATCCATCCATCCATCCATCCAGCCAGCCAGCCAGCCAGCCAGCCAGCCAGCCATGCCTGCGTGCAGATGTATATGATATATATATATATGTATATATATATATACATACATACATACATACACACATACATACATGTATGCTTAGGAGTGCAGGTTTGAGACGTATTGAGGTTGGAGGTCCCATGGCTTTCTGCACAAGAATTGGGATTCTCTTAGGTGGTGCGGACGGCCTCTGTTGAGCTCGCGCGACACCGGGTCTGCTGCTTCGCCTTGCACCCGGGCACGGTCGACACGGAGCCGCCCTTGGCCTCAAAGTACTTTAAGTTTCAATCCGGCTGTAGGAAGGCGAGTGATTTGCCAAAGGGGCCCCACTCAAGCCCACATCCGAAGACAAAATTGAAGCTCGGAGGACTTAACGCGCGCCTTTGCACGGGCGCGGTCGAAGTACACGGTGCGCTCTGGTCTGCAAGGGAGATTCAGGGCAACGTGGGGGTTAGATGTAGTCCAACAGCGGACCGAAGTCTCCATTCCCGACCACGACGGATCCGCCGAGGCAGGACGTGGATGAAGCAGCCACGAGCTTAGATATGAGGGTTCGAAATTTGCAGGATGAAGGCTGGGTTGTGGGTGCGGGTTTGGGTGCAGGCCGCTCCGCGGCACCGACATTCCCTTCCCACACGGGGACAAGTTGCCAGCAAAGATTCGGCACAATCTCGCTGAATTCTGTCGTGCTGCCAGGCCGAGAACCACTTGGCCATCATTGCCTCTCGAAGAATGGAACATGCGGGCCGCTTCTTCGACTGGCGTGCTGAGGAGATTCCATGGTGAGGAGCGGAGACGCCCTTTCCTGCAGCATAGGCCCTCCAACTGAAAACTCGCGCTGCTTGTTAGCCAGTCTCCATCCGCTGTTTCACATGGCCCAAAGGAATGCAAAATGACTGCAGCACTGATGAGGGCATCACTGCGCGACACCCAAGATGTCAGCCGAAGTAAAACCCAACGCAGATTTGCAGAGCAAGCGAGCAGCAACCCGGGCCAAAAAACCGTGCATTGTTTCCAGGTTAGATTTAGCATGATCTCGCCGTGCCCATATTGGTCTGTGCTTCCAAGCACGCAGTGGAAGTTGACCCCCCTCGCGTCCAGATACTCTTGCATCTCAGCAACAGGCCTTCGCATGTGACAGCAGGAACATTGGTCCAGAGACTGCTTTGGCCATGCAAGACACTCCCTCTGCCCTTCCCTCCCCCCAATGCCTTTGTATGGCCTTCCGGGCATTCCACGCGGTGCAACAGTGGCTGCTTCGGCGGTTTCACTGCTCCTGAGCTCAATTGGATCCATGTCCCGGGGGCTTCCGAGAGACTTGAGAACAGCTTGCTGGGCAGATCGTTCAGGTCTGTCGTGCGTGAAATCCGTCCAAGCCATGTGCTTGGCAGTGAATGCATGCTGGATGCTATGACACCTGTTTCGGCTAGTTTCAGAGTCACTCACGCAAGAGTCTTTGTGTCCTTGTGATGATTATGATGGGCAGGACGCCATTGTGCCTGTTGTCCGTTTGGCTACGGCTCAAGCTCTTTCAATCCTGAGAGCATAATTCATTCAACCCTTCGCCCAACAGAAGCCCGGCCGTGACGCAAGAAGAATGACTGCCGGAGGCCATCGGATTCAGTACACTTCGCCAGTGCCTTCAGAGGCGTATCTCCCCCTGAACACGGCCTTGGTGCAGAGTCCTTTCCCTCCCGGTCTCAAGTTCGAGCCAGGGCAAGTCTCACCGTGCACAGGCAGCACAGACTCTCCCATCTCGACGGGCACAGGATCGTCGTTTTTCACTGCCAGTGCCACGGAGAAGCTTCGCCTTCACAAAGCCGGGCAATGCCATCCGTGCGTTGCCTATGCCTTCAGAGCGGCTGGGTGCTACAAAGGCGACAGCTGTTCTCATTGCCACTTCTGCACAGCCTCCCAAGCAACCGTGCGAAGAAGGCAACTGCAAGCAGCGGCGCGACAGCAGAGGAAGAAGCAGCGACCAGCCGATCAGGGGAAGGAAGCGGCAGCAACAGCCCGCATTCTTGCGGGAGAGCCCTTCTGGCTTTGAGGCGGCCATACTCTCTTTGAAGAGCCGGGCAGATGAGTGCACTGTAGTGCATGTTTAGCAGCACGGGCTGTGCCGGTGGCCGACAGGTGTGCATGCTTCTAGATGGATGTGACTTGCAGCAGGAGTTGCCGAACTGTGCTATGCTAAAGACATTCCGCTGACACCTGTTGGAGATGACACTTAGTAGCAGCCCTGCTGCAGCGGCACCCGAGGTGTTCTTGCAGCTTCATTTCACATAATTTTTTTGTTAACGGGCCACAAGCGGTTTGTAGGAAGCAGCTCCGCGGCCCTCTGTGAACATCGGCCATGCAACTTTAGATCCTTCCCAAGCACCCTCCCGGTAAGAGGCTTGCCTCTTCTCGGGCCGGGGAGTGAAGGGTGAGTCTTGGTCGGTCTATATCCAGCCTATACGCTGGTAGCATTTCTATGACATATCCAGCCTTTACGCTGGTGACAGCGCCCCTTCGAGGACAGGAAAGAGGTTGCTGATGCTATGTTGCGTCTGCTGTTGCAGCATCATGTCCCAGCTGCCCCAGTTGCCTGCTTCTGCGCAATGTCAGCTTGGAAAGGCTGGCGGTTAAGATCGCTGGAATTGCTTGGTGCCCTAAGTCTCTAAGTGCCCTCCCTGAATCTCCAAGAGCCGAGCTCCACGCCAACGGCCAATGGCTTCGTTCCGCAGAGCAAGTGTTTGTAACCAGCAAGAAGCACCAAGATACCTGTAGCTCAAAGCCTTACGTGGCCGTAAAGCCTGAACACAAAGCCCAGAAGCCCGAAAGCTCCCAAAGCTTAGATTCGCCCAAGGCTGGTTTCTGCCTGCGGGCTGTCTCTTCTGAGCTGCTTGGATTCGGAAGGACGTTGTGATTCGGAGCTGTGGCCTGCATCATTTCTCAACCTCCAGCATTATGGGGAAGTTTTGCAACGGCGACGACGACGATGACGACGGTGGTGGCTACCAATGATGACGAGTACGGTTTCTGCTGCTCCAGCAGATTCCATGCAACTTTCCAACGTTCCTCAGCTAAGGGCAAACGCGGCCCAAGAGGCATGACGAAGAATTCGAGGAATTCGATGGTGACGAGGACGGCTGCATGGTGGCTGGGCCGTTGGAGCTAGATTCGAGATGCCCAGGTCCAGCGAAACAACATGAGACACACAGAGCGAGAGTTTTGCCAAATTTTGCAGTGTCCAGGCCGAGTTTCAGTATTGGTCAGAAGCTGCCTCAGCCCGTCAACAGAGGTGAATGATGATTTTTGTGCGCCTCGCAGCTGCAACCGTGTCGACAGCTGTCTGTGGAGATCTGGATGTTGTTTGGGGTTTGTGCGGTTGGAAGTTGAGTTAGTTGTTTTGGCTTTGTCCATGTTGTCCGTTCCAACCATTGGCTCCTCTCTTGGCCTTCGTCCTTGATCCCGGCACATACATGATCTCTTGTTAGTTGCGGCTTGACTATGTTATGTTTGAGTAAGAACACCTACGATCTACGATATGTTTGTCAAACCACAAACCTTTTTACTTTACACGGTCGCCCAGTACTTCCTCTTCAAATTTGCAAGCCCTATAAAGCGTTGTTAACACCTTGACTACAAACGATTGTTCGTAGTAGTGCCGACGCGATAGGCGGTTGAAGGTTGCACGATGACTTGTTGCAGCCGGTAAAGATATTATATGCCTGCAGGCTTGTTGGGCCAGGTATAGACGGTGTTGGTCGTGTCGTGGCTTGTCATTTCCTGCTTTTAGAGTCGGTACCATGGCCCGTTAGTTCCTCTCAGCTAAGGTCTTTAAATACGTAAAGGGGAAGGCCCCGTGGTGGCTCCAGAACAACCCTCCTCCAGTGTTCAAAGTAGGACAGGTGCCTAGCATCTGTTGTCACAGCCCAGCTAGAAGAGAGTCCTTATAGAACCGTATAGTACCATCCAGAAATACTTTTGGAAACGTAGATAGTTCGAGGAGCACGCAGGGCGCGTTCGGTGCTTTGCTGCTCTATTGCGGCCTGGTGTTGGGGGAACTGCCCTTCCTGATGGGTGCACCTGGGACGGTCAAAGGTTTGGAGCTTAGGTTTTTTTGAAGTCGGAGTTCCAGGTAGGGGCATGTTGAAAGTGCTACATTCAGGCATGCGAGCTGCACAACTCTCTAGGTTTGTGGCTAGTTCAGCTGGTGCCGTGGAGGTGCTTCTGCAAAAACAGACCCAGAGCCTGCGCCAAACGTAGGCGCCCCAACCCTCTGCCCTGGATCAGATTCCATGCCTGTCAGGTGATGGGCAAGGTTTGAAGGCTCAGATATCAACTTGCAGAGCTTCGGTTTGGAAATCTGCTTGAACTCCACACACTGTTCACACATGATGACTCCCTAATCAAGGTTTCAGCGGAGGATGAGGGCAAAGCCGCTGCGTTCGTGCAGAATCTGCTGGTTCTCGCGACTTGCCAAGTACAATGTCTTCCCCTGACCAATGTTGAACAGGATCTACACCAACACAAAAACAAACAAAGCACCCCACCCCCACCCCCAACCCCCCTGACACCCACCCACCCACCCACCCACCCACCCACCCACCCACCCACCCACCCACAGCCGCACCCCACACCCACATACCAAACCCCACACCCACACAGCTATACCCGCACCTGCACCCACATCCACACCCACACAGCTATACCCGCACCTGCACCCACATCCACACCCACACCGGCACCCGCGCACCTGCACCCGCACCCACACCCTCACATGCGCACGCACACGCAGTATGCATTCACGCACGCACGTGCACGCACACTCACACAGGCAAGCACGCACGCACGTTCGCACTCAATTGCTCTCACATGCGCTTGCGCTCTCTGATTCACAAACGAAGGCCAGAAAGGGAATTGTTCGAGCTTGAGCCCTCAGCCACCTTTTGGGCAATCCGTCCAATCCTCAGTGAACTTCATTTCCAAGTCTAAGCTATATATGCACACACACATACATATATATATATGCAATATATATATATGCATGCACAGAGACTCGAGGTCTGTTGGCTGCTGGAGCGGCTCCTCCTCACCGGGCAGCCGCTGCCTCTTACCCAGAGCGTCTCCTGCGCCCTGCAACTTGGCTTCTCACCCAGAGCGACCTATCGTCATCTTACAGTAACCCCTATAGTACCCTTACAGTAACCCCTATAGTACCCTTATAGTAACCCCTATAGTACCCTTATAGTAACCCTACGGCCCTACACCTAAGAGCTTTCAATCTGCGAAGGGGGCGGAGGAGGAGGCGGAGAAGTAGCAACAGCGGCACCAGCAACAGCAGTGAACCAGATGTGAGTAGCGACGGCATTCACTATCACGAGGCCCTAAACCCTGAACATCATGCTCTAAGCCTCTAAGCCCTTTAAAGTGGGAGGGAAGAATGCCAACCCTAAAAGCCTTAAGCTAAGGGTGTGGCTGGCGGCCATGCTGATCGACTGGGCGGGCCCGACGCCCTACGACGACTCTCCCCTGAGCCCGTTCTTTCTGAACACCCAAATGTGGGTTTTGGGTTTATAAGGTCCTTTAAAGGGATCTATATTAAACAAATAAATAAATAGATAAATAGATAAATAAATAAATAAATGAAGAAAGAAATAAATAAATATAAATATATAAATATAAATATATAAATATAAACATATAAATATAAATATAAAAATATAAATATATAAATATAAATATATAAATATATAAATATATAAATATAAATATAAATATAAATATAAATACATACATAA